CGCAGTATACATCTCCCTACTTCAGATACTCTGAATATTCAGACTAAAGTGTCAAGTGCAGTACACAAATACAGAATAAATGTAGCCTGAGTTTGTTATGGCTAAGCAGTCTGAGTTCCCCAAACCAAATCTGCAGTTTCCAGTTCCATATGTGGGTGGGACCGTTCATGGCGCAGGTAAAGCCTTACTGCATTGCTCTGCATTGGTAAATTTCCACTGAATTAATGAGGAATAGGCTGTCTGTTGATAGAGGTGTGAACAAAGCTTTTTCTTTCTGTTCTTAGACTAAATGATCCGATTGTTTTAAAATTATTTTTTCTTGCTGCTTCTTGGACCCTCTAACCCCCAGTGTTAAACCTGTTGAAATGTAGACATTGCATCTGGAGAAGGGTTAGGTATGAGTGGGTCATGCTGACAATAAGCAAAGGTATAAACAGAATAGCACTCTGTGCTCTCGTGGGACACATGCAGCTCTCAGCATAGTCTTCCAGTTCTAAAAAGATGTTGATTTTTTGCCAAAGAAAAGGAAAAAGACTTCGAGGGAAAGCAAACACTTTGTATGGAGGAGGTGCACAGCTTAGTTATCTCAGACCATACACTTTACAACTGCTCTTTAGAATGACATTTACGAGCCTAAAGTGAGAAAGCTTATTTAAAGAACTGGTGACCTCCCTGCTTCTATTGCAACACACCATTTTTAAAGCAGAAATACAGTTCACAGAGTATAAAGCAAAGTAATCAGTATGTGCATTGTTATTTTTTTGGAGTAATAAATAACAAGACAGGGTTTGTAACAGATTCTATTTGCTAAGTAATTCCTTTTCCAATGTAGGTATACCGTTATCAGTATTAATCACACAGATGACTGATTGCAGGCGCAAGGACTCCCAGATATGAATTTTCTAAGATTTCAGAGAGTATTATACATCGACTGCATTTCCAGAAATATTTTGCTTATCATCGCCAGTGATGACAAAATGTGATTTACTTGAGAAAAATGCATTATGTAGTAAACCAAATGACATTTAATCTTAGTTTTAGCATCTAATTATTATGCCGTGTCCAACACTGCAATACCACAAACATTCTTCTTTAAAAAAAAAAGTCATTAAAAGCAACAGGTAAATAACAGTGCAGCTGTTTTCCTTTATAAACATATTTAGAAATGAAACCTTGTACTGTTATTTTTGAAATTGCCACATTCAACAAGCACCTTAAGTTATCAATAGCTTGAAAAAACACCTCATTGAAGTAAAGGGATCTTTGTAGTCTTTTAGGCTCCAGAACTATAAATGCTAGCAGGGAAAAAAAAATTAAACAACAACACAAAAGTACACAAAAGGGAACAGATTAAATCTGATGCAGTTCCTATGAAGTTATCATGTTAGAAAAAAATATACATTAAGCATGGTTCCAAAGGATACAAGGTTTTGACACAGAACCTTTTTTTTTTTGGTAGGGATTTTGAATGGTTCTCCCCATGGGTAGAGTTTACAGGACATGTACCTATGGGGGTCTGATTAAGTACCCAAATTCCAGGCATTATCTCACCTAGCTCCTCGGCTATCTCAAACATCAGGGCCAGATTCAGACAGCCTTGCTCAAAACTGCACCAACTTCCAGAGCAGTAATGGAGCTTCTCTAACCTGGTAAGATGATGTGTGGTGGGGCATTAACATTTGTGAGGACCCACGATGCTCAGGGTGCCACAAAAAGGTGCTTAACTTTCTAAGCGAGCACAAGTGGCAGGCAGAGGGACCTTGAGGCAACTGCCGATTGTTAAAGTGCTGATTCTTTCAGGTGTTACTGTGCAAAACAGTGAAAATGGAACATCAAATTGATAAAAAAAAGGCACCACACACACTGTATCACTAAGAAAGCCAGTAACTTTACTGATTTGTCTGCAAAATACAAATTATACCTTATTTCCAGCAGGAGAATCTTTTGAAATTTTCCCATTTTTGTTCACTACAGACAGCTGAATTAAGTCCCTTGAGATACACAGATGTGGTTTAACTTAGTTATAACATCTTGTCATCTAGTGGCGACAAAGTCCAGCTTATGCCGCTGTGAGCCTCTACTTTTATATTTGTTGCAAATGCTTGTATGCTCCCATTTACAAGCTATTTTGTTATCACCATTGTTTTATGGAAGCAAATCCCCATGAAAGAGAAGAAGAAAAGAAAAAAGGATACAACAAACCATCTGAAGCAATCCAAGTGTAATGCCTGTGGTAACCCAGGTCTGATATTAGTTACTCCATGAAAGACTCTGGTACTGCCTTTTTTTTTTTCCCACGTTTTTATTTTAAAATGAGTTTCTTAACTGACCTTTTTTGAATCAAACTGAGGTACGGATCAGTCTGAGGTATGAGAAGGGAAGGTAGAAATGCAACACCTGATTATGAAAATAATTAAAGGATACTTTTGATGCAGAAGGTCTGTGGCTCAAAGCTTGGATTGCTCCACATCTTTGGTTAAAATATATTAACAAAAGCCTTTTTTTACATCTACAGTCTGAAGCATTCTAACAGACACCAATGTTCCATCAGTCCTTCAAGAGACCTGTAGTGGCAGGAAATTAATGCCATATAACTGACGACATCACAGCAGATGGCACAAACAGGAACAGATGAAGTATGCCATGTTTAGGCAACAGCCTTTATTGAGGTTTCAAGTGGCTTTTAAAAAATTACAAAGCATTTACCTTCAAGGCGAAGGAAGAAGGAAAACAAAACAGCTGTTAGGACTATAGATAAAAGAGGGTATATAGGATAACACATACAATACAAAAGGGTTGACATCCTTGAAAACAGTCTATGGGTTCTTTTATTCTTATGCTAGCTTTACCTGAAAAAGATCTGAGGACAACAGATATTTTTATATTATTCATTAAAAACTGCTAAATTCCTCTTCTGGGAAAAATATAAGCCATTTTGTTATAAAACACAACTTTTGAAAAACACTGAAATGACAAAAGCTTTACTGCGAATGGCTCAATGCATACAATATACAGGTTGTGCAGATAGGGTATATCATATAATTGTCACCAGCAATTAAACACTAACTGACAACACCTTTTAATAGAGGTTAGCTTAGCTATAACAATACTTGCAATTGTCTAGAATGCCACTTCAGGTGTTTGAACTTACAATTAAGAATGTTGCCTAAAACATTATATAGCATGGGTTAAGGTAAAGTAAATGTTAATACTCTTTCAGGGCTCTGCCCCAAACTCCTTAAATACAAAGGAATCACACAATAAACCCAAATTAGCTTTGCAAATACAATAAATGGTAAGGTACAGATAAAGGAACAAGAAAGGTAGACAGTTATAGTTTACAGAAAGTGACTTCACAATCAAAGTTGTGCTTCTTATCATTAGATCAGTTTGCAAATATGCATTATCCCCCAAAATTTTGCCAGTATAAGTTAGTTGCCCTCCGCAGCAGGAACAAGAGGGATGACTGGCATTTATTTTCACGTGATTCTGTTTACTTGTGTTTGTACAAAAATCATTGTCAGAGTTAATATAAATTGCCCAGGCAATACTTTTCAGGCTACTTTCTGCTTAGTTACCTGCAGTAATATATTACACTGCATCTTCATTAAATATGGTATCTTTCCGTTTTTCATGCGTTGCTGAGGCAAATCGCAAGGTAAACTATTAATATGGCTATTCTTCATCTATCAATAGACCAAATCCCCTTCCCCACTGACAGGTTTTTACTATAATACTGATAAAGTTGTATTTTTTTTTCTTGAAATTACAAGGTACATTTGTGATATATTTGCATATTTTTGACACACCAAAGTTCAAAACTCTCAGGAGAGAATATGAGTATAGGTTTATCTGAAGGTGAAGAAAGTGGTTTCAAAAACAGGTTTTTTGTGTTTTAAAATTAATTATGGGCCCCATTTTACCCTTTTTTTTTGTTTTGTTTTTGTTACTTTTTGTGACTTTTTTTTTTTTTTTGGTGTTTTTCTTTTTTTTTAAACATGCGTATCTTTTTGTTTACCCTGCGGATTGCTACACGAGCTAAGATGGATGCAGTAGTAGCACAGTATTCTGCTTAAAGAGTTTCCAGATCATGCACTAGCCCCTGCACGGCTGAGAGTGCCTGTAAGGCAGGTGTCTACAAAGTCATGATAAGTGAAAAGCGTATGTCCTGACGCACACCGTAGTCTGTTCATCATTCTCTACTACAGAGAGGTACACTCTTATCATTCAGCAGTGCACAGCAACTGCATGTACAGGTGGGAAACAGAGTGTGAATTTCCCTTAACAAAGTACTTGGTGTTGATACTTAGCTGTCACAGCTATATCCTTCACCATAGTGTCTATGTAGATAGGTGACAGTTGGAAGGACTCTTGGAAAAAGGAGAAATATTAAAGTTTACTATGGCACTAACGTTTTGCTTTAACACCTTTTCTCTCCAACAGCAAGATTAGACTCAAACATTTGAAAATACCATTTTCGTCTAAGAAACAAGAAGAACAAAGAGGGACTCACAGAAATGATACACTCCCTCTGGTCAAGCTGTTTTAGTCAAAGAAACCACATGAGGCAGGAGAAATTGTGGATGGCATATGCTGAAGCAAAGCTTGCTTGGTTGCAGATACACAGGGAGCATTGCTCAACAACGTGCTCACTGTGAGACGACGTGACCACAAAGGTCCATGAGAACCAGGGACCTGATGGCCAGTGTTGGCTGTGAGATCAATCGATGTTTGAATGGTCCTTTAATTGATGATCTCTCTAAGAGTTTTAAATCTGTGAGAGAGGGGAGTAATCCTTACAATAGTCATGTTCATGGCGATCCCTCCCTTTAACTCTCCCTACTGCTTCTTCCAAACATTCACCTGCACTCACGCAACTGACAGCCATTAGAGCTGTACACCCAATTCTGACAGGCAGAATACCAGCTTTATTAAGGAGAAATGGCCAAGTTACGCCACTTTGTCATTTAACCCATGGAAAACTACAAGATACGCAGGACGTTAAGTAATAGAAGGGCCCTTAACTTGTTACAATGCACAAAACAGCATGAAAGAACTAATCAGTATATACAATGGATCGCAGTTCACCCAACTGATTGTAAAATGCTGTATTAAAATGATTTAAGTTGTTACACCATGGGTAAGTTCTAATTTTTTACAGATCAGTGTTTCAACAGCTGACTTTGATCTGTAAAATGTATACCCAGCCAAAGAAAACTGAAAGAAAATAGTTAAATGTGCAACTGCACAAATATAATTCCCCACTATTAAGATAACAAAAACTTTTGCTATTACCATAATTATTATATATATTAGAAAGCTATACACAAGCATGTTAATTTCACAGATTTTTTTAAAAGATTCTTAATATTTTATATAATTAGAAATACACATTTCAAAAACAAAACTTCTGCAAAGAGAAAACAGTTATCTTGGTTAGCAAAGCATGGAGTTCTTCATGGCTTAGGGTAGTGCTTTCTATACAAAAAGTCCTTTTTGTTTGTTTCTTCAGGACTGTTTAAAAGATCAGCGAAGCTATCACAGGAAAAAGAACACATTTTGGCTTGAGGAAACTACAAAAGCCACAAATGCTTTGCAAACTCTGTCTTACTTTTTAATATGAAAATAAGCAAAATGTAATGTACATATTTTTTATATTTTTTTTCTTTTAATAAGTGATGCAGACCCAGAATTTTTAAAATTAAATATGTTAGCCCTCGAACTCAATGTTTTTACAAGTATGGTCCTCTTTAAACGTTTGATCCTTTCTATCTGAGTGCCATACTCTAACCATATACCTGCATGTTTGTGAGTGTTTTCGGTATGTCGGGTGACCCACTCTCTTTCTAGCATCATTTCATGGCCACCCAACCACTGGGTCTGTCAAAACATCTGTACACTTTTCTATATGTCTCATAACAGCTGCTTTCTCTCTCAGTAAAGATCTGCCATTTCTGGCAAATGTTCTCCTTTTGTCTATTTACATGTAAATAACGTTGAACCTGCAACATGACACTATCTATTGTAACATACATTTTGCAAGGGAGCACAACAGTGAAAAGAAGTTAGCCTTAAATCTATTTTGTACAAGTGTTCTGTTGTACAACTCAAGTGCTAAGCTTATCTCAGCATTTCTGTTTATCCTTATACTGTATCACTGAGGCAATTTAAAAGTACTTTTACAAAACAGAGTACCTGACTTTTTTTTTTTAAAGTTTTGTTTTTTTTTTTCCACACACGGCACATATAATGCATATCGACCCCCCCTCCCCCATTAAGGTACAGCACACACACACTGCAAGGAAAAGAAAAAACAACCTAATAGATAATAAATGTTATCATGTCGCCCATCCTTCAGAGAGCCGCATGCGCTTGACAGAGGGGCTTTCCCTTTCGTCCGGCGAAGGTCTGGTGAGTCCAATGGGGGAGTGGAATTCGTTCCGGTGATCTTCTCGGTCACTTCCATCGTAGGAACTGCTACAGCTGCTCAAACTGTCAACGGGAGATCTCCCCGCCTCATGGCGCGTGTGCTGTGGGTATCTCGAGGGTGTGGTGGTACGGTCTCTAGGAGGAGAAACAGGTTCTGACTTGATGTTGAGGCTTTGAGTAGAAGGCAGGGAGAGATTTGTACTCTGAGATAAATGAGTGCTAGTGCAAGCTCTGTAGGAGGAAAGGAAACCCAGTTACAGACGGAGGAGGCATGGAGCCCCCAGATATGCACAAACACTCACACAAAACACCAGTGTAAAGGCTCACGAGGGGCCAGCCCCTGCAGAGAGCATGGGGACTGTGTTCTGGGCAGAATTCACCAATTCAAAAGGATGAAAATCATCACAACAGATGTGGACATGCCCTCGGTTTGAAAGGAGGTCTCACTTTCAATCTCTCTCTCCTTTTTTTGGCTCAAGTGTCACAATAAATTTTGGAAGGCGAGCCTTTGCACTGTTGTAACGACCTTTATAACTAATGCTTGTGTGTGTGTATGCACCGGCTGAGACAGGGGAGGCACGGACTTTCTGCTGTGATTAATCCAATTAGTTTGAATGTGCCCAACTATTTTTATTGCTGATTATTTGACACACGACTTCGGATGCAAAAGAGAAATGAAAGTTTGGGCCATGTACAATTTATACTCTTCAGAATAGAGTTGAAATTACTAGTCCTAGTAATTTCTGGACCTAGACATTAATAAAATACCACAGGGAGGCAAGGATTTAGATATGATTTTATGGTTCAAATCTATGAATTCATAACTCAATCTAGAATGCTTTTCAATAAACAACCAAAGAGAAGCTGAAGAGTACTGGAAGATGTCAGAGGATTGTGCTATTTGCCTGTAGGAGAGCCCAGCTCAGAGGATGCTCCTAGCACTAAGAGAAACTGCTATGCTAAAACTTCTTCAAAGTCAAGCTGTATAACTATTCTAAGTTCATTTTCTTTCTGTGCATTTTTGTGGGCAGAGGGAAGCTGAAACAGGCAGGGAGGAGAGCGAATACTGAGAATGCACTTTATCTCTGTGGGAGAAATGAGATAATTTGCATCTGCAGGATGTTTTGTGCAAAAGCACCACCTCCTGGTAAAACCTGACTTTTCGTTATTAAAACAGAGTTCTCAATATGTGTTTCCCATTACATTCCACTTCAGGGACCATTTGCTAGGCTGAAGTCAGTGTCTAACCCCTGAGACACAGTTTCAAGGCTTCTACTCAGTATCTATACAGGGGGAAACTGAAGGCAGCAGAGGCAATAGGCCACTTGGCCTCGTAAGGTTTTAAATGCAAAGGGATGTGCAGGCATTTTACTGCAAGTAGAAGAAATACTGGGATTTCAAAATATTTTTTAAGTATTTAGAAAACACAATTAAGTTTACATGTGGCCTTTTAATTTATTGAAATATCTCAATTTTCCTGATACCTCATCAACTGGGAGTTGAGCTTTACTTAAGCAACATTTACTATAACCTTGATGAAAGACAAAATGTTGTTTTCTTCTGACAGATCTAAAATGGAACTATATGGCTTCAATATTGAATGATATCAACTGCTTTTATCAGGAACTACTGCAGTCTTTAATAATGGATGGATCTTCTTAGAAAACAGAAAAAACAGGATGTTCTACCTCCAACTGCTTTTATCTACCCTTCACTCCCATACAGATGAATGTGCCAAATTTGCGGTCACCCCCTTCATAAATCACAGAGTTTGTGAGTAATAGCCATTCCAGTAGCAAACGTAGGGTGGGGTTTTTTTTCTTTTTTTTTTTTTTTTTTCTCAGAAAGGACATTTTCTTTGCATTTATTAAACTAACACATTTAAGAAACTGCAAATCTAAGATTCTGTAATTCCAATTTAGTGAAATACTCTACTCTTTTCCTGAAAACTTGTTGAAAAGAATCCAAAAAGAATAAAAATGACAATCCTGGGGTTTTGCTTGTTTGTTTGTTTGCTTTGCTTTTCATTTCCAGTGACTTTATTTTTCAGGTGCTAGGACTTTTTAGGAAATGCTAGAACTTCACCTGGTAAAACAGGCTGCCAGTTTAGCAGATATGATAAGATTATGTAGGTTTTTTGATGCCAAGCTTATAGGTAAACATGAAAGTCCCATAATAAAGGATGGTGGAGCCTGGGGGTTTGATTTAGAAGCTTTTGATATGAGCAGATGACATGTCACTTTGCAAAGCTGGGGACAGCTGAAAAACCCATGCTAGTTAAAAATAACCATATTCAGCCAAATTTGTTCCACTGAACATACTTGCATTCTAGTGTGTGACAACCCCCAAAGGACCAACTCTAAAGGGATAAACTGCATTTCTAATGAAACAGAGCTAATATTGCTATACTGCTATGTTGCTTTTTAAATACTTTTTTAGAACTGAGTATGAGAATGTGTATCTATGTGCTTTTCTTTAGATTCCTGTGATTTATCAGCAGGGCTATGTAAATACCTGGCATACTAATGTGTGGCAGTTTAAAAAATGCTACAGGTTGATCTGCATTTTGAACAATTTTCTTTGTAAATTCAGAAAGATTAAGAACTTATTTTGGCACATCAGGAGTAAATTTTTGAAGTTTAAATCAATATAAATCAAAACAATTATTTTGAGTCATTCAAATTAACAAAATTAAATATAGTCTTTTTCTGCTGAAACTAATTTTGAATTTTAATACATGTTTTCTGGTGATTATAATTTACATGATTTCATTAAAATTTTCTGAAACATTTTAATGATAATCTCATGTTAGCTAAAATGGTCAATTACACAGGAAACCTACTGTAACACATAGATGTAAACAGTGAAATAGCACTTAGGTGCAGTCTTCAGACCTATACCCTAAACAGCTATAGAATATAAACTGTATTATAAAAAAATGAGAATTCTGACTGCTATCAAATGATTTCTTTTCATCTATCTGTTTTTGTGACTGAAGAAACTACTGTTTCTATCTACAGAAAGGGACGCCTTCTGCGAGACCAGCTTGCTCAAAACCCCGTGCAACCCGGCCTTGAGTGCTGGCTCCTATTTGGGTTCAATGCTGAACAACTACACAGGTCTGCCATGTAAGAGGTGGGAAGCAAGTCATGTTGAAATGAGTTTGTAGGTGGGTTTGGTCTTTGCTGATGCCAGTGAGATCAGTTCTGTGTGTGTCTCCATCTGTTCAAGTCCCCAACTGGTATGGAAGCTCAGCATGCACGGATAGATGTGCAGGTCTGAGTAGGTGATAAGTGAGGACATGAAATGCACCAGATAGATAGGTTTTCACAGAGAGAGGAAGCAGTCCATTGAAGGAAGGAAGACCCTCACACATTTTCTTTTATGGCCACACTTGCTTGTCTGAATTAGTTTACTTCCTCACTTCATGTTAGTTTTCTACATAAATGCATTTAAGGAATCGTTGAAAATTCATGGCAAAAGTTAGTTATGTAACTTTGGTTATGTGCTAGTTGGTAACTAGGAGAATAGAAGATATTTTTGACTTGCTAGCAATGCAACCTCCCTCCCCTCTGTTTTTCTTTTAGGTAAGTAGGGTTTTTTTAATATGTTCTGATCAATGCAGAAGCAGAAAAAGAATTTCTGTGTCAGGATATTTTGACTAGCTCTCACACATTCAGGTCTATGCTTTAAAAAGAAAATTCTAAAAGAAGAATAATATTAAGCTATATTATTGGAACATCTTATTTACAATGGTGGGAGAAGAAAAAAGGCTCAATCCTAAATATATAAGGGTTTTATTCATTGCAGGAACTGATACAAATTCACAAAATATGATGTCTAAATTTTTCCAGTAAAAATGGTTTGGTAGAGAATATTTGCTGATATGTAGTTATTCTTATTGCCTAACCAAAATTAATTGTTGCCAAGTAATAAGCTTGTTATGAAAAAGCCACAGAACAAGTCAACAGTATGTATGAATCTGGACAATTTTTATTCTGGTGGGTAGAAATATAGAGAAACTTTTTTTACTTAAACAATTATCTATCCTGAAGACTTTTCATATGAAATACTGTTTCTGTGTTTGCACTTATATTTCAGGAAAGCCAAAATTTCACCTGCAGATGATACTTAAGGAAGAAAAGATTCTCTCTTCAACTGGGAAATATGGACATAAGAGAACATTTTCCATATAATGGACTTGTGCCTAAAAAAGATCATTTATTTCAAAGCTTGGAATGAACTTCCCTTGTGGTTAGCAGCAATTAAATTCAGGTAGGCTCTTTGGTCGATGTTAAATAAGCAGTAACCTTCTCTGTAAGAGACATTGAAGCAATATTCAGACAAAATCCCAAAATTTTGGGAGGGATTGATTTTCAATAGAATTTGTGTGTATTTTATTCCAGATGTAGACCTAGTTAAAAGACCGTGAAAGTACTATTTAACTTTTTAACCTAAAAAGTTAAGACTTGTTTTGATGTCCCAGTCATATCAAAACAGGCTCTACATTAGTCTCCTATTCATGGGGCTCACGGAAAGCCTGAAGGCTGCCCAGACAGGGAAAATGAGCTACTTCCATGTCCTCAGGTATTTGCCCTCAGGCTTACTGGCACCAGTATAGTTGTTAATTGGAGAGCCAACATGAAGACTTAAGAATTAGGTTGTAGACATCTTCTCCAACTGTCTTAAAGATGGTCTGACAGTGCTGCTGAAATTTTTGGGGACTTATCTGGAGAAAGCTAATATGTCTAACCATATCCTATTCTGTTACTAACCACGTTCTTCTTCACTGCATTGAGGTAGCAGGGGTGGTTTTCACCTTTAGGCTTTGGTGAAAAACAAAACCTACTGAGAATCTAGGGTGTCTTTCAGTAACTCTGTTTTCTCACTGCTCTTTACATCCTTTTGTTACCAAAAAATATCTTTCAGTTACCAAATCTTTCCAGTATATGACCTCACTCAGCACAGGGATTTGAGTTGTCAAAACCTTTGTAGATATATTTTCTCAGATACCTGGGGATGACTATAAATTTGTGTGATTCAATCTTCCTGAAAATTCTAGCTCATGTTGACATGGGCTGAGTAAGTTCTGTATAGTTTCAAGTTTTTCAAATCATACAAGAGTGAGCAGAGGTACTTGTGCATGTAGAACTCAGTGACTAAAATAAAATAAAAAAAGCTTAAGATTTTCTGCAGAGATAGAAGACTTTTCCAGAACTGTCAGTGAAGCAGCTTTCATAGCTGAATTCATTTACAAATAAATGAAATAGTAATAATAAAAGTAGCAACTCAGAATGTATTCCATCAGCCATAGCCATTACACTTCGACATTCTGCGATATGAATTAGAAACAGATGACAATGTGTGACATATCTGAAAAGGCATGTAGTTAGTTTAGGTTTTAATTTATACTTTTTTGGTTAACCAAGTAGCCTTATTACATTCTTTGGTACACCATTGAAAACAATCAGTTTATTGTAAGGATATACATTGATATCTAACGTGTGAGTTTTCAATTTGTTTGAGGCTTTATGTCTTTAGTTGTAAAGTTAGCCTGAATGTTGCCCCAGAAACTGTGCAAACTCAAAAAGAAAATAGAAGAAGCGTAAGAGTAAGGTTTTAAGAGTATTTTTTTTTTTCCTAGCACAGCAACTGTCAGTTGTATATTTTTGTATAGTTAGTATCTATATATGCTTATTTATATAGAAATGAGTTTTAAAAAAATTGTTTCCTCTGAAACACTTGTATAGCTCTCCTTTAAAAACTAAAACTGTCTATACATGGTAAAGAAATTACAGTAAGCTACAAAAAGTGGTCAGATAAATTAGAAGGAGAGTTTTGAAGTGTAAGCCACATTTATAGTATTAAATAGTTTCACATTATGACAACCATCTTGCAAAAAAATTAGTGTATATGTGCAACACCTCTTTCTGGGGGAAAAAAATTTACTTTTCAAATGCATGTGAATTAAATTTCTCCTCATAAATACACTCCAGCTGTTTTCAGCTTCTATTTTTATACGGAAAACTTTTGCAATTCAAACATGTCTAGGCTTACCTTAAGCTATGTGTGGTGTGCTGGTGACTGCCTACTGCCTTACTCAATAGAAAATGCAGGATTCTTTAAGATCACGCTTTTAAAGCTCACCTCAATGAGCCAACAGGATTTTTTTTTTAAAGAATGCTTTAGGTGACCTCCCTGTGTGAATTTTCACACTTTTAAAAATCCTGAAATTATTCAGCTTTGTGCTTCGCCAACCTTGAGTGAATGTCTTGAAATTAGCCACTAGAGGGCACGAATACCTATCCTCCTCAACACAGGCAAATAAATCACAATGAGCTTTGTGGGCTTACGGTTCTTAGGCCTAGCTATGTTGTTTGCTTGTAGAAAACATTTCCAAAAAAATTAAACTTGAATGTCAGAGTTGAGAAGAAAGGAACATGTGCTTATTATTCTATAAGGTTAAGGCTTAATCTCAGGTCGAATCATTACACCACTCTTACTTGATTAAAAATATTTAGAAAATTTTCAAGTTTACTGTAAAAATTTGTGCTATAGTAACTGGAAATAAAAAGCTTAAATGGCAAAAATGGCAAAATACATCAACAGCACAGTGTAAGGGTTTAGTTTGATCTTTAGTAGTGACATAAAATGCTATTTAAAGAAACAGTGAGTAAAGCACGGATAGTAGTCTTTACTACACTACTGAGAAAACGTCATGATCACAGAATATTTCATTGTAGCTACCTGGCAAATTCTTAATGAAACAAATAGTTCCAGTTTTGTGAAATGGAGCTCTTACATGTAGTAAATGTGTGCTGATAAAAAGTTGTCTTGATGTATTTTAGGTTTGGGATTACTGGGAAGACTGGAGTCATTATAGAAAAATAAAATAAAGAAAACAGTGCTTACCCCAATTGACTGAGGGCAGATGGTGGCATGTTATGTAGATGTTGCTGTTGCCAGCCAGTCACAGAGCCAAGATGAAGAGCACTGGCTGTATTAAACCCAGAAAGAGATGATATATCTGCACTGCTCAGAGAATATTCTAGATTTGAAAACAGAAAAGACAATAATTAAAAGAGAATTAAAGAGGAAGCAATTAAATAATAACTAGCATCATAATTTTCACATGTCACTTTATAAGCCTTTTAATTTTAATTATACCAATCACATTAACTTGCAGCAGAAAAGTAGACCTTCCTCTTCCCTCAACTCATTAACTTGGGAGCAAATAATGCACTAATAATTATTGTGTAATTTAGCAGGGCTTTTCTGGATCTGGAAGATCCAAACTATTCTCAGCCTGTATATGCACCGTAAGTACAGATGTGTTCCCAAAGACTTGAAAAACATAATAATGTTCTGGTTACAGTCTTCCTCACAGAAGCCAGCATGCAGCCTGTGTCTGAACAATGTGCATCTTCTCTAGAAACATCATCTCTGTACATCGGCATGCTCTATTCAGCAGCAGTGTGCAATGGGAACAGGAAAGGATCTCTTGTGGCTTCATTTCTAGTCTCTCCCAGATAGCTATGGGACAGCCCACAAAGTTACTGAACTCTGGAAGCCAGTGAAGCTGCTTGTTCCTGCTACCCTTGGAGGTGCACTCAAGTACCTGAAATTACCTGTGGTATTGAGAAATGTCTTTTAAGTTACATTTTTTATTACAGGCAAAGACATAAAGCTATCAAAGAAGTTTTCCATTCAAACAAAATAGCTAACTTAGAATAGATATGTCTCAAGTTAGTGACAGATACAGGGTAAGTGAACACTGTATGGAAGCATATCAACTATGAATTTTTCAGTTTCTCCCAATGAATGTTAGCTAGTTTGTTAGTCCTGAGACAGACATTTGTCATCACCTTGCTCCCTCCCCCAGCCTTTACATCTTGCTCCCATACTTACCAGTACCATATGTTGTTGAGATGGCTGATGGGTATCCTCCCATCCCTTGCCCTGGTAGAGTAGGAGTTGCTACGGAAACCACTGGAGTAGCCAATGACTGAGCAGACTGGGAGTTATTTATCCTCTGATTCTTTTAAAGTAAGTAAAATAAACATATTATTGACTAGTTTTAAGTCAGTTGAGTGTATTAGCTGTCTGGGTATGTTTTGTGCATGAGAAATACAGTCTGGTAGGCATTTCTAGAAATTAATCATTTAACATGTGGCTTTTATGAACTCTGCCAACCCTATCATTTACAAGCCTTCAAGAGACCAGTTGTCACCATAGTAACCCATTACATCAGTATCTCCTAGGTAACAGAACTAGTAACAAGTAAGATTGCTTTTATTGTTGGTAAGAGAACAGATCGTGTGAAAAACTAATGGAATATGTAAACTGTATTCACCTTGTTTTCCTTTTCACTCAAATGAAGGGGAAAAAAATAATAAAAAATAGAGAAGTGATAGAAAACCCCCCTAATATGGACCTACTGGATTATATTCTTTGAAAGTGATGGCATCCTGGTATTGCTGAACATGGATGACTTTCCACCAGATGGTGCTCTGACTACTTCATTTTTGTGCAATGAAACAAACTTCAAGAGTGTAAGACAGCTCAGCACTTACACACTTATCTTTTGCACCAGGGCGCTAGATGTTGCACTGTCAGAACTGTGCTAGAGAACTCCAGTCTTGGGAGTGGTGGGATAAAATGACCAGAGAGACACCAAAAAAAATGTCATGAGCTGGCATCATCTTCAGCAGCGCAAGTTTACACACTCTCAAGGCACCAGCGACAAGAAAGCTTTATCCTAGCATGTATTTTAACTTGAGTACGTGCAACAACTGCACCTGGTCTTCCATACTGCTGCATTTCAAAAACAATGATGGCCTTTTTGTTCACAGAATAGTTATGGCAAAGTTTTCCAACACTTCACCTACACAAGTATCAATCATACAAAAGAACAGATTTTCTTTTCCTTGTTATTAAGATGAACATCGCTACCACTTACCAGAAGCAGATCAACATCCTCAGACTGAGTGCATAGGAAAGGAGCATTAAAAATTAGTGAATATAAATACTTATCAGGATGCAGATTTCTAGGTTAGGGAATAGCTTCATCTGATGATAAGGCAGCAAATTAAACACTTTCTGACTATAGTTTGGAAAAATAACACCTCACAGATCTCTTCGTTTGATGGGGTGTTTGTCTTGATTGCAAGCACAATCTATCCAGTTTTCAGTACGAGATTTTCTCTAAGACAGGTTGCTATACCTGGTTTCAGGAGACCTGACTATTTACAGAATCCCTTGGAAAATATCAGTTTTAAGGACCTTGGAATAAATCATTTGATGCAGACAGCTTGTCACTGCTTTGGTCGACTCTGAACATTGCACTGTAGGAGACCATTTATTTCTTATCCTTTCAGAAGGCATCATCACATTTAAGGGGGGAGGGGTTACTTTGATGTTCAAAGTTAATTTATTATGTGTCAAGCTGAAGCAGCCGGGTTGGAAGTTGTTTTAATAGTGTCTGTTACGTAACACAAAAATATATTTATAGTGTCACTTAAATTTACATTCAAGATCCTTTCTAAATTAAGCTCACTTTTAATGTTAAATCACTCATGAAAGATTTACTTACAACCACTAACTGACTTTCAGAAGTGAACTACAAGACATGCACATGACACCTTCATGATTCAACCTTCTACCCTGCCTAAATTTCATTAATCCTGGCAGAAGATGCAGCAGTTTTTTTATCCTACTCCATCTATTTACTACGTCTTATCATTACAAAATGGAGATCAGAGTGATAGAGTTCCAGTTAATTTATGTGTAGTTAAACTGCCATCTGATGAGAGTCTGTGTGGATAAATATTTGAGAAAAACAAGTAGGTTAGGAATACTCAGGGTTAAATCCAGCCTTTACAATAAACCCAGGAAAGGCTCTTCCAGTTACTAGGAAAGAGAGTGCAGAAGTTTAGACCGTAGAGGACACAGTTCCTATTTTGCAACTCAGTAGAAAAAAGGGAGGAAGTAAACACAACTTCATAAAAGCAGTCGAACAGGCTCTTCCTATATCCTCAGCTCAATGTCAAGCCTTTAGGATAGAGAGAAAGACCAAAAGAGAAAGAATACGGAATGTTATTCTGATTTTAGTCGCTTGAGCAGGCCTTGGAACTCCTAAGTATCTCTTATGTGAAGGAAAGAAAAAAAAGAGCTTTGAAAATGCATTACCACTGATGGCATTGTATTCTTGCTGCCAGGTGGAATAAGCACACGGAGATCTGGTTTACGGTTGTTCATTCCCAAATTCATTGGAGGCGGAGATTTTGCTTGCATATTCTTGTTCAAGTTGCCAGGTGAGACCAGCAGACCTGGTGAGTTGCGGGGGTTGCCATATCCATTCCCTGTTTAGGTAAAATAAAAGAAAAAAAGAGAAGAAGAAAAGAGAGAGAAGGTTTACAAACTCCAAGGTATTTCTTAAGACTGAACACTAAAAATGTCAAATAATAAAAAAAAAAAAAAAAAAAAAACCAACCAAAAAAACCCCAGGGTAAATACCTGTGCCATGTAACATACCTTTATAGGAAAATACAACACATGCCATGTTTTCTTATCTCTACATGCCCATGTATAGGGCCTGTAGGGACAGGACAACAGAAATGGCTTTAACCTGACAGAGGGGAGACTGAGATGAGCTCTTAGGCAGAAGTTCTTCCCTGTGAGGGTGGTGAGGCCCTGGCACAGGGTGCCCAGAGAAGCTGTGGCTGCTCCATCCCTGGCAGTGCCCAACGCCAAGCTGGATGGGGCTTGGAGCAACCTGGTCTAGTGGAAGGTGTCCCTGCCCGTGCCAGGGGGTTGGATGAGCTTTAAGGTCCCTTCCAACCCAAACCAGTCTGTGATTCTATGGTCACTGGAATAACTGGTGTTAAAATGTTTTCACTCAGGGCAGCTGATATCTCAGTGATGTGCTGAAAATAACTTCGTTATATGACTCTTGTTTACTGCACTATGGTATATAGCACAATACACTGCACTCAAAGCAGCCAAGACCTATTCCCCTTACAAGAGAATCAGGATAATCAGGCAATCTTATGGCTTGAAAAATGTCAAAGCTATGCTGTGTTTTCTCGATAGCTACAAAGGATTCTGCCTTGCCTGACTCAGCCCTTTCCAGGTCATGATTTTGTTTTGTTTTTATACAAAGGATTTGTGTAGAAAGGCTATAATTTCCAGAAGAGGCAGAGAGAGGACTAGGAAGATTCTTGAGTTTTTCTGGCTCTCTTTCACCACACTTTTTGGACCTGATTCTGTCAACACAAAAGTCAATGGGAGCAAGAGCATAACCTTATTTGGAAAACACCACCCTATCTTTCATCCTCATCTCCCTGCTGCTTTCTGCATGCCCCAGGAACAATTCTGACAGGCAAATGCTTCATTTGCCTTTTTCAGAAAAGGGTTCTCTTCTCTCACCATGTAGTACTGACAACTGTATATCTGTAAGGTTACTGACCTACCGGTCTACTGAAAATGAGACATTCATATTTCATGTGCGTAATTTCACCTCCTTGCCATGCAAAGTCTGGGGAAAGAGAGACTCCCTAGTATAGCTTTGGACTTCTGCTGGAGAAGAGAAACTGCTCGGTCATAGAGAGGGAATAGCACGAAAACTAGTACAGAAAGAGGGAACTTTCACAGATAAATACCAAAAAAGCCAATGCTAGGGAAGGCTTTCTGTTCTGTGCTCGTTTTCTGTTCACAGCTCGCAAGCTGAGACACACAACCTAGAAACAGTGTGGGAAGAAGAGCTAGTGAGTGTGGCTGAGTCCTGTGAGTCAGAAGCCCTGGACCTTCAAATTCCCTGTGGTTCCAAAGTCAGTGAAGAAGTCAGTATCTCACTGTTTTTCACACATGGAATGGGGTTTACAGCCCTAGAGGACATGAATGGATTATGGAATTAAATTTCATAAAGTCTATGATGTGGGTATAAAAATGACAGTACACGAGAGTGAATCTGTCTAGATTCGTTAGGATAACGAGGTGTGTCCAAGCATGACTAACATTAAATCATGCTACTAATTTGCAAGCACGTCAGCTAATTGTACTTATCAGATCAGCAAAATCCATGAAAAATAAATGTCAAGAGCTCTTAAATACAAAAACAACAGTCAGGCTCTGAAAGACCCTGAACTGTGAACATTAGACTTAGAACAAAGGAAAAGTATCACAAAGTGCCTGACTTCCATATTTGCGAGGTACCTTGAGTCACAAGTCTGGTCTGGCTTTTTTATTCTCATGGTTTTTATTATCATGTTGCCCTCAGCCTTTGTAAATAGGAATTAAGATGAAAAGTTAGAAGCACTCCGATAATTTCAGAGATTTTGTATTAAAATATTTTTCATAGTTAATCTTATTGTTTATGTCCTTAATACTAGTTAGTGAGATAAAATGAGTTAATGAAAAAAGGGTATTTTTACACTTATCAAGCTAAAATAGCAGAACACTGTCAAGAATTTTCCATTTTGTGTCAGTAGGCTGGGTTTTTTAAATGAACATTTGCTCTCAACGTGGATTTGCTACATATTGTGCTCCAGTTAGCACTATGTTTTACCAGAGGCAGCGAAATTGTAAGGGCCATTTCAAATACACAACAATATTTTCTTCTATAAAATTCAGTGCCTTTTAAAAGGTGATCTGTTACATATGGAATAGCAAAAAACTAATGCTGTGGGGAACTGATCGAAAGAAGAAACTGAAGCAAAGTAGAGTTTCTCTGGTGCTGGTTTCATACAGGATCTGTTTTACCAACAGGAAGTAAAAGTGTCTTGTGAAATCTGTTGTATGACAAGCATTTGTTCAGAAAGCAAAAATGAAGCTTTTTGAAGAAGCAATATATTTTTTTTAGTTCTACAATATACAATCTAAGATATTTAACTTAACAGCACACACTGTAATCTGTATGTTTCTATGGCTGTGATTTTCTGAGAATAGAAACCTTTAAAAGAAAAAACTCCCATTTTCTACGTGAAATTTACTTTATATAATTCACTATTAAGTATTACGGGAAAGAATGCATCTGTATAAAACTTTTCAGAAACTTTTGCCTGACGTTTATGTTATTTACCTACTGATGTAAAATATTTTGGTCTGTGATAACGTTTCTGACATTTATATTTTTAGAACACTAAATTATTTTTAAGAACTACTGCAATCTTCTCTTTACCAGTAGATTTCTGCTGTTCATGGCACATTATGCCAGCTAGCATTTTGGAGCCATATAATAATCATTCCTCTTTCCAGCCACCAAATTGTTATTCTTTTGGTATAATGTGGACTCAGGAATGTAAGACTGTGGGCCTTAAACCAATGATACAGAAACCCATCATTTGAAAATCAATGATGAATGCATGCATGTGGTTTATGGTTAAGAAGAGTCTGCATTTAAATCAGCTCTTTAAACCGTATCCTCTTTACTCAGAAAGCTGTGGCCTGCTCTGAGGCAGCTGTCCCACCTTCAGATAAATCCACTGAAGAGAATGGCCTCATTTACATTCAGAGGCAAAAAAAAATAATAATGTATAAGACTTCTAATATACAAATTAAACCTTCCTTCATCCTATACTTTAAAATTACACTCTGCCTGGACAATTATCAATTTAGATGTGACTGTATGCAGAACATCGCATTCCACTATCCACTTGAAAGCACAAAAATTATATGTCATGTATGAATGGATTTCCTGATTATAGATTATAAGAAAATGAAAAACAGATGGATTTTAGAGCAAGTTGGCTTTACATTTTTATTTGGTTAAAAGCCATATTTTTGCTGGAATAGAACATTTTTAAACATTACGGATATAACTCGTAATGCATAATGAAAATAAAAACAGTAGATGCACAAGTTTTAAAGGGCATATGTCAGAATCTGCAAATTTACAGCATTTTCAATTCAAGAAGTTTTCAAAGAAAATTATTTTTCCTCGTGTTGTTTGTTTTACTGACTTGAAAGAGTAAAAATATTTTACATAGAAAAGAGCTTGTTTCTAGACGAACTAGTGGAGCAGCACGTGCCATGTAACGCAGTGCCAGACTTTGTATTTGGACTAATGGCAGAATATAAAGACAAATGCTTTCTGAGCATAGAATGCTCTTCTTGGGCGTGTTCCCATATTCTGCATTTAGGCACAAGTGCCATTGACTTTAGAAGGAATTCTGTCCAAGTACAGACTGCATGATTAATCCCTGCAATACCACTTCATGAAAACATCCAGAAAAGTTATTTTTGTGCTCCAGTAGTTACTCAAGAAGAATTATTAAAAAAAATAATCATTTACTCATGAAAAACCATGATTTTAACAAACATTACAAGTTCATATACTACTCTCTCAAATGGTCACTTTAATGTTTTAAGAATTTAATGGTACAATTAGGGCACAAGTTTATTTAGGACAGGACAGAGAGCGAAGTTTACTTCTCCTTTTTTATCCTCTGTTAGTAACACCTGTACCTTACATGCAGTTTTGGTCATTGCTGTTATAATAGTTGCAATTCTTGACATTTTGAATTAGGGCAAAAATTCTACACTGGGCATTTAAACCAGGAAAATTGCCACGTGCTAAGGTAACACAAACGAGGAAAGAATAATTTATTTCCATATCTCTCAACATTCTTGAACAGCATTGTCATGATTCTTTAAGTCTAGAAAATTCAGAAAATTTTAGTATTTTGTTTTCTTGAAATTTTTAACCTATCATGTCCCAACTTGTTTCTTTTTGATTTGTGATTTGAAAGATAAAAAAATAAAAACAAACAAACCTGAATGAAAAAAAACCTATGGTAGTCCTGGAAGAATGAAAAACGAGACATGCAATTAACATTTCATTTCTTTAATCTCCCTTTTATTTACTCTAATGCTTTTCACTGACCCTATGTTTTGAGAATTTACAAAATTTTTAGCAACATGATATGCCTACCTCCCACTTATTTTAGTAGGAAAAGTGCTTTCAGATTCTCAAAGGAGTTTCAATAAATATTAATGGTCATTTCAAGTTTCCAACAAGTATATGCTCTTGCTTGTGGAAATTATAGTAATTCTTCCAAGAAGAAGAAATGCACACCATTTCATGGAGGATTCCTGCTTCTTACTGGGTTATATTAAATGCATATGCCTTATATATGTCATTATGACTAACTGCTAAGCCTATCAAAAAGAATGTTAAATTTAAAAAGAATCTGTATAAACATGAAAGCCAACTATATTACAATTTACCTCCACTTCAAAATATATGTATATATAAAAGAATCAATGCAGAAATAGAAATTTAGTTAAATTCACACCCAGTTTTGTACCAGAATTTTTTTTTTTTTGAAGAATGGGAAGAGAATGAAAAGTATGTCAACAACTT